AATGATAGAATGAATTTAATTGAAGAAAAAAATTTCTAGTGTATTAGAATTAATGACAAAGATTAATAATAATCATTCTGATCAACATTAAAAATTTTAATAGATTGGTTAATTAAATTATATATATAGTAGATAAACATTGTAACTTTAATTTATATATGATTTTTAAAAAAAAAATTTCAATAATCAAAATGACCAATGTGTTATTTATTAATAGACCAATCACCCAAAAATCCTGTTACCAACCAGTAGAGTTGCCTTTCTAAACTCTAACATCTTTTCTAAACTAGTTTAGAAACCCTAAACAGGACCCCGAACAATCTTAGGAGATGGTACATTTGAAAAATACCCACTTTACATGTGTCACATGCGTTACATAATAAAATTTGCATCAATAAAAAAAATTAACTTTTTTTTAAACTTTTTTAGAGTGTGTGTTTTGCTTGAGGGTTTGGGACACATAACATTTCATTTTGCATCTTACATATGATTTGTATGTGTGTATATATAACACAAGACAAGGTTGATTTGTGAAAATGATGGGATGATCTGATATGATAAAATAAAGTGATGGTCAGAGATTGTGTGGTTGGCACTTGTTCAACTTCCCAAAAAATGGGCCAAAAAAGGTTGTTTGGATCAAATGATGGGATGATCCAATGTGATTGTGAACCAATATAATGTAAAATAATGTGCAACATAACATCATGTTTACACACATAGTGTACAAATAGAAACTGCCTTAATTTAATTATTATAATAATTATGAATATTGTATTATTCTTGTTTTTTATTTTTCCAAGGCTCTAGTGCTTTTTAAAAATCAAAAATTTCAATTTCTGATCCATTATTAAATGATCATCTAATGCATCTACTACATTCATTTGGTTTCTCAAATTATTTTTAATTAACTTTGTTTGAGAAAATATTCTTTCTACATGAGCATTAGAAAGGTGTATAAGAATTCCTATTCTAGCAACTAATAATATATTTGAATTATTAAAAGGAAAATCCTCATCAGATCTAAATGTGTTCCACAACTGAATGAATTGATTTCTCTATTATTATTTTATAGTGCTGGAAGAAAAGTTTGTTGAATTTATTCTTGTTTAAGTTCTTCTTTGTCAGTGATTCCATTAAATTTATTTCCATTTGCAATTTTAATTTCTCCATAGAAATTACCTATAATTGCATATGTGTGACAATAAATTTGAGTTTATTTATTCCGTGCACATATGTTTTGTGGTGTAACGTTATACCCTCCCGCTGAATTTTATACACTGTCCTAAACTGATTTTATAGCATATGATGATTATCTAAATCATTCGTTTTCTCTATTTTCTCTTCAAGTGATCAAAGTTTTTATCAAAGTTCATTTTATTTTGATATTATTGTCCTGACAATTAATTAATTATTAAATCATTGGTTTAGTTTTAAAATATATTATAATATTCTTATTTGTTCTAATATAAGTTTTCTTCTTTCTTAAAAATATATAAATTTTTTTAATCACAATAATGTCAAACAATACTGATGTTGATATAAATAGTTTATCAAATTCAAAAAAACTTGGTGGACAATCAAAAAATGCAGTTAGCAACATTTTGAATGTTATCCTTCAAAACATCCAGGACATCTTGGAGCAAAATGCAAAGCATGTAATTGTGAATGGAGTAATGGAGTTGTTAATAAACTACAAGTCCATTTGGTACATGAATGTGAATACATTAAAGAAGAGATCAAAAAAAGATATATGTATATTGTTGCAGAAAGAGATGGTGTAAGTGAATCTTTAGAAAATACAGCATATAAAGTAAATACACAATCACTTGTTAATTTTCGGGATAAAAATGAGATATTATCAAAAGAATGTGCAGGAATTATAGGTTGTTCAATTTTAAAGGCTTTTGAGGTTTGTGGTATCCCCTTTAGAATAATTGAAACCCCCTTTTTCATCAACATGATAAAAAATCTCAGATCAAATTATAAACAACCTTTATGAGATTGTCTTAATACTAGATTATTATCAGATGAAGCTGTTTGTGTGAATATAAAAAATTAATAATATTTTAGAAAAGGTTAACAACTTGACATTGGGTATGAATGGTTTTTATTTTATTAAAATTATTTGTTTGGTTGGAATTTTTAGGAGTTTCAAAAACAGTTTAGGAATTGGGGCTCATTTTCTAAACCAGTTTAGAATGGTTTTAATTTTGAATAGTTCTAAACTCATGAGTTTCGGAAGGTAACTCTACCAACCAGTAAATAATCCTGAAATAAAATTCACTCGATTATTATCCAACAAATCAATTCCGTTAATAACTTTGACTTTTCAGTTCCATGATAAAGTAAACTTTTTTAATTTCTCAGAATAATTTGTTTGCTGGACTGTTGCACCCAATAATGAATCTACCAATGAACCAAAAAATCCTGCAAATGATGAAATTATAATTATTTCCTGCCAGATTTTTACACAGCTACCTGTTACCACAATAGTTATTAATTCAAAGATGCCAATTATAAATCCATCCATAACTGAAGCTAATAAACCTAATGATGATACGCCTCATTTGCACAGATGGAACCTAATTTAATCAATTGATTGGAATTGGAATGGGTGAAATGGAATTGATCATTATATTTATTTATTCTTTCTTTTTTTTATCCCCCCAAAAAAGACCAACCTTTTTAAATGTTGTGTTGATGTTGATCAATCAATCCTTTCCTAGTAATCTTGTAGATGACAACAGCGCAAAATGGAATTTGAGTAGTTTATTTGTTGCAAAACTCTAGATAATAAAAATAATATATTTATTTTAATATTTTCACTAATTAAAAATTTTTTTATTATGTTATTTCTTTACAAATTTATGGCACAATCATATTATGTGTCCAATGAGCATTGATTGGCAATCCAATGGTCTAATCCAATGGGAGTGCCAACTCTGTATTAGTGGTCTTTCCCACTGAATAAAATTCGCTGAGTAATCGCTGATTATCCGATTAATTGAATGTAAAAATTCATTGACAATTGATTAATCGATCGTTGAAATCATTCAACGATTAAATAATCGGATAATCGGCGATTAGTCATTGAATAATAATAATAATAAAAATAAAAATAAAATAAAGGTAAAAATATTTCCACAAGATTTATTAATCCTTGTGGAAATACTAGAAATGATTTTGTCTCTTTATTTTTAATTAGAGGCTAGAATCGGTTAATTTAATCATATGAAATTTTTTAAATGGTAAATTCGATAGTAATAGTGTATTAATATGCACTATATCCAACCCAATTAAAAATTTTTTTACTTTATCAGTTCTATTTTTCTTTCATGGTCCTTGTAGTGATAATAATAATAATAATAGTAGCAGAAAGTAATTGACATCTTTTTTTAGTCAATTAATAATAATGGTTATAATAATTGGTTTTCCTTTGTAGTGATAATATTCTAAAAAAAATTTCTGCAGGCAAATTCGAATAAAATTATTTGTTTTACTCATTATAAATTTGAGTATTCGAATTACGTTGAATGTTTATTCGAACAAAACAATAAATAAGCGAATAAAACGAATCAAGGTTGAGTTGTACAAATAAAATGAATAAATAAAACAAATCCGTCAAATTAATATTAAAATTGTAATTGCATTGTACAACGACCGTATTATCGGGTATTTACGATATTTTAATTCGATTATCAAATTTAGATTCGACTGATTATCTGGATGTTAACTTCTATTAATTGACCGATTATCGAAATATTCGATTATATATAAACAAATTAATATTTAGCTCATTGATTAAATTTGAGAATTATTATAAAATTTGGAATTTCAATATTAAGTTCAACCAGTTTTTAGTTTAAGGAAAAAACTAGCCAATAATTTTTGAAGCAATTTGATTATAGATGATCTGCACCGTATTATTCGTGAACATGGTGATAGTAAAATACACGTACTAAAAAGGATTTGATCTGTCTACAGCATATGCGAACAGGGGATAGAAAGGAGAAGTTGTACAAAATAGGATATAACTTGTCTGTATCTGGGAACATTTAACCACGTGAATTTAGCGAGTTTCTGTCAGAATTTGTCTCATATAGGGTGGGTTATCCTATCATTATATATTGCAATCACGGCCAGTGGAAATAGGATAAGCCTGTCGGAAAATGCCCGCATTAGTATTAGGTGTAGCAGATCCATGAATGGGATCGGCGGAGGAAAAATGATAAATTTTATTAATTAATCGATGATTTTATATAAAAAATAGTACTATTAAGGTAATATTTTTTTCATTTTGCATTATAAAACAAGGATATCAAAATAAAGGATTTACTCTTGGGAGTATGTGATTTTCCATAAAAAAGTACGTTTGTGTAACTTATTAAAAAAATAATTAATATTCAATTAATCGAATGATTGGAAATCAAAATCATTTCAAAACTCCAAAATTTTAAAAAACAAAATGATGCCATAAGTGCTTCATGTGAAAAAAGGTTCAATTAAAATCTTTTTCAAAAACAAATCGAAAAATATTTTTTAGGGTTTAATCACGTGATGTGGCTGCTTTTTCATTAACAATAAAATGATCGACACACCCTTGGCTATGTTAAAAAATAGATCAACACTAATGACAAATCAAATGATTCAAAAAATCAACGTCGAAAAATAAAAAAAAAAATTTCCTATATACATCTTTTTTTCTTTCATCAAATTATGCAAGAATGCAAAGTAAGAGCTTATTTTTATTATTGTTTTCTATATAATATTTCTCAATGATTATTAAACTATTAACCAGAATAAAATAGTGTTGGACATAATAATTATCACCAAGATCTGAGAGAAACTTTAAATTATTATTATTATTATTATTATTATTATTATTAATTGTTCTAATAAATAAACTGATAAATATTAATATTTATATGTACCATAGCTTTTAATAATTGGGTAAAGGTGAATTGATCTTTTGTCTTTATCTTCAGGTACATATATTATATATATTATTATTTATACATCTATTTGTAACGATGATTTTCTCTACTTACGGAGGGACAAATGAATACTTATGTTAAGTAAGAATCCACCTTTGCTCTCAGGGTGGTGAAATAAATAGCTGAACAAAACATTATTTTTCATTATTTTTTTTTTTTTAAAAAAAAATCACTAAATTTTATTTTCTATTTTTTATTTTAGAAACAAACGGTTGTAATATTTAATATTTCCATTTTTAATGCATCGCTATACCACTATAGTCATTATTATCATCTTTCTATCTTTGTAAAATTCCCCTAAAAATTAATTTATTCATTATTTCTATCAATCTTTTGCATGTGTGTGGAGATTTACAATAATAATAAATATATAAATGATTGGCCTATCTATTTTATTCCATTTTTATCCCATTTTAAAAAATTGTTTTTTTAACTTTTAACTTTCTTTTTTTTACATAATAAATAAAAACCTTTTTTCTAAAACAATTACCTCTCTTTTTAATAAAGAAAAAAATCCTTTATAATCCGATTCATTCAATACGCACCCATAATACATTTTTTTATAAAATAAAAAATTATTAAAAATGATTAAAAAAGTGTCAAAATCTTTTAGTAACTTAGGTTTACCAAGGTCCAAATCACTCAATGATGCTACTAACACAACTTCTTCTTCTTTCATTTCTATATCATCATCACCGTCGATTTCAAAATTATATTCTAGACTATTACATAGTAAGAATTCTTTCAAAAAACCTTCGATTGCTCAATCATATAATGTACCCATTGCACTGGATCGTTATTTAACCAATGAAGGTCACCGTCTGGTTGTTTCTCATCTACGTCTATCAAAAATTCAAACTGATATAAAAAATGGCCGCTTACACAATTTAACTGAAAAAGATATTGATGATTTTTTAAAAAGTTGCAATGGTGTGGCTACGAATTCTTGCGAAACTTTAAATTATCAAGAATTAAAATTATCTCTGCCAGAATGTAAATTGCTGGCAATGTTATTAAAGTCTGGCAATTTATTGAACATTAAACATTTAAATTTATCAAAAAACAATTTAAAAGATTCTTCGCTGAAATTGATTCTGAAATCATTATACAAAAACTCAACTGTCATAACATTGGATTTATCATTCAACAATTTAAATGACTCTGATGCAAAAAACATTGCCAAATTAATCAAAAAAAATAACAGAATTAAAGAATTAAATATAGCTTATAATAATATAAATGGTGAAGGTGCAAAACATCTTGCAAAAGCACTAAAAGAAAACAAGTCAATAGAAAAATTTAATCTCGAATCAAACGATTTAAATGTTGTAGGTGGCAAGCATATCGGTGATATGCTAAAGAATAATAACACTTTAAAATATTTACATTTGGGCAGAAATAATTTACAATTCGTTGGTATAAAACATATAAGTGAATCATTAGTGATAAACAAATCAATCGTCAGTTTAAGTTTAGATTCCAACAATATCCAACCAGCTGGTGTAAATGAACTGGCTAAAGTTTTAAAAACAAACAAAAATTTAACTCATTTATATCTTCCAAGTAACAATCTTGGTGATGTAGGATTGAATTATATATGTAAAGCTTTATTACAAAACTCCACTTTAATCTATCTTGATTTGGAATTTAATAATATTGGAATGGGATTATCTTCACTATCCAATGGCAATAATGGAGTTGATGATGAAGATGATGAAAATGTTAGAATAATTGGTGCAAAATCACTCGGTAAATTATTAGAAAATCACATTGTACCGAGAGCAATAAATCTAACATCAAATCCTATTGGTAATAAAGGGTGTGAATTAATATTTTCTGGATTTCATAAAAATAAAACTATGGAATCTTTATTATTAAGTAATTGTAACATCGGATTAGATGGTGCAAGAGTCATAAGTGAATCATTAAAATTCAATAATGGCTTGCAGAATCTTAGTTTACACAAAAATTTACGATTAGGAGTTGATGGTCATTTATTAATAGCTGATGCTTTGGATAAAAATACTTCGCTCAAAGGCTTACAACTAGATTATAATTTTGATGAATGGGGAAGTGTTGGTGATACAATTCAACAATGTTTAACAAGAAATCATTTCTTACAACAAGAAAAATATAATACTGCTTACAGGATTTTAAACGCTTCCAGAATAATCCTAAATACAAAACCAAATCATAATCATCAAAAAACTAAATTGGATGAATTACCATTGGAAATAAGCGAACAAATTTTGTCCTTTTTAGACCCTAAAAATGTATTAACAGAATTACAAATTATCTCAATTATAAAATGGTCAACAAGGAAAGATACTTTAGGATCTACTTTGGAAGATTTCCTTACTAAAACATTAAGTGCCTATTATCCTATAACTCCTGACGTACGACTTTGGCCAACTGAAGTTACTGATAGTGATACAATTAACAACAGATTTTAAATTATGTGAACTTTTTAGAATTTTTAATA